CACATAACATGGCAGGCAATCATCATTACATAATGGGAATTCATCATTACATGATAAGCATTCTTGATTACATGACATGAATGCATCATTACATATTAGGCATTCATCATTAAATGACAGGAATTTACTATTACATGATAGACATTCATCATTACCTGACAGGCATTCACCATCACATGATGGACATTCACCATTACATGATAAGCATTCACCATTACATGATAAGCATTCATCATAATTTATATGATAAGCATTCGCCATTAAATGATAAGCATTCACCATTACATGTTAAGCATTCATAATTACATACTAATCATTCATCATTACATGACAGGTATTTTTTCATTGCATGATAAGCATGTATTGCATGACAAGAATTCACCATTACATACTAGGCATTCACCATCACCTGATAGGCATTCACTATTACATGATAGACATTCACCATTACATGGCAGGCATTAACTATTATATGCTAGGCATTCCCCATTACATTGCAGGCATTAATCAGTACATGATAGGCATTTACTCGTATATGATAAGCATTCGCAACTACATTACTTGCATTGACTATTACATGATAGGCATTCACAATTACAAGATAGACATTCACATTACATGGCAGGCAATCACCATTACATGATAGGCATTCATCAATACATGACAGGTATTCACCATTGCATAATAAAAAATCGTCATTACATGATAAGCACTCACCATTACATGATAAGCATTCACCATTACATGATGAGCACTGACCATTACATGATAAGCATTCACCATTACATGATAGGCATTCAATTTTACATGATAGACATGCACCATTACATGGTAGGCATACACTATTGCATGATAGGCATGCACCATTACATGGTAGGTATACACTATTGCATGATAGGCATTCACCATTACATGATAGGCATTCACCATAATATAATAGGCATTCACCATTACATGATAAGCACTGACCATTACATGATAAGCATTCATCATTACATGATAGGTATTCATCGTTACAGGATAGGCATTCACCATCACATGATAGGCATTCAATATTACATGATAGGCATTCATCAATACATGACAGGTATTCACCATTGCATGATATAATATCGTCATTACATGATAAGCACTCACCATTACATGATAAGCATTCATCATTACATGATACGCATTCACTATTACATGATAG